TAATATTATTATTATTTTATTCAGGCAGATAAGGGCTTCGTTGGACAAATGTAAAAATACGCAACAAAACAATGGGAAAACATTCTTGCATGCTCTTTACAGTTATTATTATTCCTGTTATTATTATCGTTAATTTTATATGTAGATGTATATATGTAGATGTATATATATATATAGCGTTGATTTTATATATATTTGTATAGTTTATGTATGTATGTATATATATATGTGTGTGTTTGTTTTTGTGTGTGTGATGAGTGTATGCATTGATACATATTTGATGTTGTCATTTTTATATAGTGTTATTTGGAGATTAATTATAATTCTATTCTATGAATTCTAGGAGAATTCAATTAATCAATCAATCAATCAATTAGCTTATAAAGCGCTATTTCCGCGATGTTCAACAGCGCTCTGTATAAAATATGGTCTCCTTCCAACACACACACACACACACATATATATATATATATATATATATATATAGAGAGAGAGAGAGAGAGAGAATCATTTTATATAAACAAATAATATTAAAGATTTAAAGATGAATAACGAATATTAGTAAGGATGGTTGATGGATAATTAATACATGTTGATCATTTAATTAATATTTTGGCGTGGTAATATGTTGTATAGGTTGTATGTTTGTTTATGTAAGTGTGTCCGCTTGTATGTGTGAGTGTGTGTGTGTGTGTGTGTGTGTACACGTGTGTGTGTGTTTCTATGTACGTGTTTGTGTGTGTGTAGTTAATTTGTTTCTGTGCATAGGTTGAATGTTTTAGTTTTTTTTAGTTTGGGATCACCGGCTTTCAATATATGTCTTTATGTATGTACGTTTATATGTATGTGTGTATATATATATATGTATAGTAGTATGTATGTGTATATATACGTCCTACCTCGGGGAACTGGGCCTCTGGACGTTAAACGAAACGATACGAAACGAAATTTTATTTGCTTCTCTATCTAAATTGAAAATTGATTGATATGTGTATATATAGTATGTATAGTAGTATATATTTATATATATATGTCTATATACTGTATATATATATATATATGTATATATATATATATATAGCTAGGTTTTTCTATTGTATTCTTCACTCTTTGTTTCTTCTTGATGTTTGTAGAGTACATTTTGATTCGTGTGTTGTGTGTTTTTCTATTGGTTTTTCTTTGATTTTATTATTATTTCCATTATTATCTATTATTATTATTATTGCATTGTTGTTAATCAATTAATTGATCTTATATGGTTTGTAAAAAGTTTATTAAGGTTATATGTATAAATATATTTGCGTATATATGTATATATATATGACTTAGTTTATCATTTATTTATTTGCTATATATATAAAAATTGTAGTTGGATTTGTGCTTCTGTGTTTCATTAAAAACTGTTGCATGCCATTAATGAATAATTAAAGATAGAAATAAAAATATTATGAATTAATAATATTCGATTTTATTATAATTTGTGAAAATATATATAGGTATGTTTATATATAAATATATCTATATAATACATGTATATACATTTATTTGCGTGTGTGTGTTTGTGTGTGTGTGTGTACTTATGTATGTGTGTATGGATGGATGTATGTAAATATTTATATGTATATTTAACTTAGTTGTAAAGATAAACTGTGTAATAATATGGATGTTGCTAATAAATAATAATTGTTTTTTTTTCTTTTGTTTATATTTTCTGTTTTTTCCGTTATTTCTTTCTATTTATTATTTTTATTTATTTTTGTACAATTTGAAATCATTTCATGTGAATACAGATTATTATAGATAATTAATTAATTAGTTAATTATCAATTAATTACTACTTGTTACTTGTGTTTTGTTTAAAATCTAAAATAAAAACACATCGTAGAACGTCCATTCAAGATGTTGTGTAGTCACACACACACACACACACACACACACACACACACACACACACACACACAAACAAACAAACATTACATTACATCATTATGATCTAAATAACGAACGAAACAGTATAGAATTTCAGCAGTATAGGAATTGAACTATAACACTACGCTGACAACCTTCAGCATTATCGCCGTCCTTACTCAATTATCATTCGCAATCGATATTCACCTGTCACTTTGTAGTTACTCGCATAAGTTATTGTAAGTAAATGTCATTTATTGTTATCAAAAACATTGTTATATTTATTAATAATTATATTATTTTGCAGATTTTTCCAGCAATCCAACGATGGTGTACAGTTCATGCTCGTATGCGAGTTGGAGGCAGCTGACCGAATAGCACTCCAAGACTGACACTCTGCCAGACTTTTCCACTAAACTCTAAAAAAAGATTTCATTTTTTCAAGTTGGTTTTATTATCATTAATTATTTGCTTATATTGTTTGTAAATTTCATCATTCTCATACTGTTTTATGACTTTTGTAAAGGTTTTAAAAGTTTTACAATTGGTATTTATTTCAAATCTAAAAAAGTTCTAGGTTGTTATTATTTTCATCGAGCAGAAAATACGTACTACAGAGAAATCGGTATTGGTAATCGATAGTACTTACGAATTTGTGAGTCTCGAAATTAGTATCGATTCCCATTTCGATGAGAAACTTTGCCATCTCCACGTTTCTGCTCCTTATTGCCGTCATTAGCAGGTTTTCGTTAAACTTTTCCATGTTTGGGACGATGTATTGTATTGTGTATGTGTTGTATAGTGTATCCAGAACAATGTATCATGCATTGGAGTTTTAAAGTATTGTGTGTGTTAGTATTTTGTGTGAATACAAAAAACATCTATGTGAAAATACCATAAACTCTACAATACACTACACGTACGTGTTCATCACACTCTTCTATGTGCCTTATACATACATACCAATTGTACATATTTTTGTACTTGGATCATATTTGTATACATTGTTTTATGTACATACAATACATATACACACACGTCTATTAGAATGCTACAGTGTATGCATATTTATTTACATTATTATTTTATATTATATATATTATTACTGATATATCCTAACCCAGACGACGTTAATGTAATGTGGTTTCTGACTTAGGATGTATTTTACCTCTGATATTAATCCATTCTTGACGTTGTGATATAATTTCTGTGATTGATTGGTTGATTGAATGATTGATTGATTGATTGATTGGTTGGTTGATTGATTGATTGATTGATTGATTGATTGATTGATTGATTGATTGATGATGACGGATTGAACCATGGTTACGGCAAGTATTAATTATGGCATTACTTTTGTAATAGATAATGATAATGACGATGATGATAAGTACAATGGTGACGACGACGACGATGAAGATTAGGAAGTTACTGCTGCTGAGATTAATGAAGGCATAACGGCATAACATATTTTGGCTCGGAACATTGCATATGTCGTTAATAATTAATAAGGTGTGTTTTGTTTGTAATACTTCAACCACCACCACTACTACTACTACTACTACTACTACTACTACTACTACTACTACTACTACTACTACTATAGTACTACTACTGCTACTACTGCTGCTGCTACTACTACTACTACCAGTGGCGAATCTAGAGGTTGTTAAAAGTCCGTAACCTCTGTTTTTAGACAGGTATGAATATTCATCATTCCTAGTTTTCAAGCAGGAACACAAATAGTTATCATTATCATTATGAACTAAGCACTGTAGTTCAATTGTTTTTTTTTTAGAGAATGGCCCTGATATAGTGGATTAAGCTGATAGCTTTTTACTAGATTTATGTAGTATACTCAATATCCTGAGTATGAAAATGTATAACTTGGTAATGGAAATTCCGACATTTTTGATGTACAGTATCTCGAATCGATCGAATAGTTATCATTCTGTGTTACTATAGTTCGATTTTTGGAATGATGCGCGGATCTAGTAAGTTAAAGGTTAAGCCGGCATTTTAGATTTGTGCGGTACTTAATTTTCTTGGTATTCCTCTAGATATGCCGCTGTTACTGCTCATAATAACACGGCTACTAAACTTGGAATAAATTAACGTTAAGTAGCAATCACTGAATTTGGTAAATGCATTGTTTAAATAATGAACTGTGATGATTGTTATAATAAAATTAATTTATGAGATGGTTAATTAAGTTAATTAGTATTTATAAAACTATAAAAGAAAGATACCTTTTTAAAATATTCTTTCCCCCCACTGGTCGGTTTGCTAATATGGTTCATCTAAGAGTTAGTGGTTTTGACGATGTTGAAGATAAAGGAGATGAGTGAGTGAGTGAGGAAGCTACAGATGATAGTTTTGATTATTATGTTGATGTTGGTGATGACGATGATGTTCTAACGATAACGATGGTGAGATAGATAGATACTTAAGATGAGATGACTACGTTATTGTAGTATGCGTATGATTAAAAATATATGCTGGTCATAAAAAACATTTACTATGATGATACTATGCTGATTGTGACGATGATATGATAGAATGTTATGTTATGACTGTGTAAAATATATAGGTAATGATAGAATAATACTGATCAAGATGATAACACCATTTAATGTGAAATGGCGATGAAAAAAATAAAAATTTTATGACAAAAGTGACAACGATGATGTTGATGATGATCTGCTCATTAACTTATTTTATCCATCGATGCAACCTAACTTATGCACATAACTTAGCAACTGAACTAATATCTCGTGATCAATTCTATGAAAAAAAATTTATTCACTTGTCTCTATACCATACATTCGATGTAACAAAAGCTTTTTGGATGTGTGTGAATGTATGTTTAGTAATCGTGAATATTCATTGAACAGTAAGAACACGATTTTTGCACTGTGTTTTTTATTTGTAAATTCGTACAGGTTAACAGTTTGTGCTTATTCTAAAATTTAATTGAAACAAATACAATCGAATGTAGTAACTCAACATCATTATTAGTGTTAGTTTAGTATCATCATAATAATCATGAAAAAATAATATTTTGTTATTTATTTACTTATTATTATTATTTGTTATTGTGATGTCAAAATTAGAGCGGCCGCCCGGACATCCCTGCCGCAAGTAATGTACACCTGAACGCATTCATCCTGAGAATATCCCATCGCAATTAGGGATTCAATATCCCGAAATTCTTCGTTAGTAAAATGAAGTGCTGTCCCAAAGAATCGGTTAATGTTGTCGAGATCTCGGACGATTATCTCGTAATCGATATTCATGCCGAATAGTCTTAAAAACCTTTCTCTGTCGGCTCTGATGGCCGAATATAGTTTGGGATTTGTCGTCCGGAATTGTTCGATTAGATTCATTGTCCGTTGTTGTTGGTCGGTTTCTAGAAGGAAGTCTTTGATGAGTGGGAAAATGGGACTATTTTGGAATGTTACGAAGGGGTGTTCAGGAGTTGATGTATCGATATTTGGTCGTTTATCTCTTCTGCGTTCATCTGGATCGAATGGAATTTGTTGATGATGATGCAATTGTTCTATTTGTGGTTCCTGCTGTATTTGTCTATGTCGCTGGAGCTCTTGTTGTTCTTCATCATATATTTGTTCACCTCCCTCCATCTTGTTTATTATCAACTTGAATTCTTATTACGTTATTTACGTTTTATATTATGCTATAAAAATGTTATTTTTATTTTTACAAGCTATTTGATATTTACATTTAAACGAATCTCATTTTAACTGTTGCGTGAAGTAACTGCAATCAAAACAGAGAGACAGACGATAGCCGATGTATTCGTGTAAGCTTAACAATAGTGCCAGCTAACTTTTGAAATATATTTTAACGCATCTGTACACATCTGGGATTTATTGTATGCGTAAGTGTAAATGCTTAATAGCTGGCTTGGACTTTGGTTTGACATGACACACGCCTTTCTTACAATTAGTCTTTTTAAATAAGTTCTATTTTTAAAAAAACCATTTCGAAAACAGTCACAAAACGCCATCTACAGAATAAATTTGGCCATTGTAATCAAAGGTAAAAAGAGTCAAGTTGTACCTGCCCAGGGTACGGTACCTGGAGATATCTACTGCCTCATTTTGAAACTTGTTAGATTTTGAAATGATTTGATGATTTTAATTAAACTATTTCTTTATTTGTTTATTAAACTGTAATTAAATATGTCATTTTGCTGTTTAAAATTAAGGGTGATGTGATGAATGTTGTTAGCTGACTGCGCAAATCCTGCACAAAACTGAATGATTTTAATATTTAACATCATTAACGAGATGTTTGTTCTTTAGAAATGATTGAAGGATGTCTGCCAGCAATAATTAGATGCCTAGAAAAAGAATTTTGCATTAATTATAACGATTAATCAATTTTAAAGCATTGATGTACCTGAGAAACAAAATGATTTTTTTTAAATAAATTCAAATATTTGCATTTCTTTGCATACAATGCTTTTGTTACTAATTAATATTAATATTAGACCTATTTAATCGCAACTATGGTTTAATTGGTTGTCGCAAGTAGGTCAAAAAGTTTGATTGGCTATTAAGGTTGGCTGGCTAGTAAACGTCACAGCTTAATTAATATTCATAAGAAGCGGGAAGCCACTTTGTGGAAGAATTTCCGGTCTATGTTTTTGAGGTTTATTGTTATGAAGATTTTCTTGTGCATTCTAGCTATAAAAAGTTCCAAATTTCACTAATTCGACGCTCCGTTTCGAGTTCATTCGAATTTAGTTGTAAAACTTAATTTTTTATTTTGTACATTTTAATAAAAATCATTTACGACTGCATATATAAAAAATGGAACACATGGTCAAAAGAATTGAGTTGGAGAAGCGGGGCCGACAACCTGAGGATGTTAGTTGATTTTTGTCAAATTTTTCATTTCTTCGTACAAATTGTTTCTTGGATTTTAGCAAAAATTTGTTATTTCGTCGAAATGTAGGCCGCCATTGAGCGCCCTTAGACCGTACTCTGCGTTGCAATATCGTCGCCATTATGATTTTGTACTGCTTGTGTATTTTAATGAAAATCTATTAAATAAATTTTGATAGTTACGCTGTTATGTGTTTCGTTTTGTTTGCAGATAAAAGAGTTGAACTTGGACAACTGTAGGTCAACGCAAATTCATGGCCTGACCAGTGAATTTTGCAATTTAGAATCGCTAAGTTTAATCAACGCTGGCCTAACGACGCTGAAAGGTTTTCCTGAGCTGCCTAAGCTAAAAAAAGTGAATTTTTTGATGTATTTTTTACAAAATCAAAAAAATAAAAATCACATGCCATCTCCTTCAAAAATTAATTTGTTTTTTGATTGTAATTTGTAGCTGGAGCTGAGTGATAACAGATTGTCGAGTGGGTTCAATGCTTTACAGGGATGTCCAGAGATATCGTCCCTCAGTCTCAGTGGTAACAAAATTAAAGACATTGAGAGCCTCGAACCATTGGTGATTAAATTATTTTTTAATTAAATTTCAATGAACCACTTATAACGGGTTGTGGTTTCTTATGCTCCATTATTAATTAGTCAAAAATTTAGAGGTATTAGACTACTACTTAATTAATTTGATAGATTTGTTTCACCGTTATTGTTCACTTGTTCTTGTGCTTATAAAATGTTGGCAAATTATTTATTCTGCTGATGATAAATAACAACGCCGTTTCAGAAATCGCTGCCCAAGTTGAAATGTCTCGACCTGTTGAACTGCGAAGTGACCACTAGCGAGGATGACTACAGAAATAAGATCTTCAAACTTTTGCCTCAACTCGTCTACTTGGATGGATCAGACGTGAATGATTTGGAGGCCGAGGATGAGGAAGAAGACGAGGAAGGAGACTATGAAAACTCAGATAACGAGGACAGTGATGATGCAGAAGGTTGGTTTAAAAATTTTTAAACATTTCATTCTCAACATTTTAGTTAACATTTTTTGGTTAGTGGGATTAGCAATGTTGCTGATGTGACTAATGGTTTTAATTAATTAATATTAATTTACCATGTATTTCAAAAAGCAGCTAATGGCGACGACGTAGATGTTGATGAGGATGAAGATGGTGAAGAGGACGAAGATGGAGAGGAGGACCAGAATGCGGTCGGCCTCAGCTATCTACAAAGATCTGGTCTCGAGGTCTGTGCCTAAAAAGCATTCATTCTCTCATTTATATTGGTTTTTTTTTTGTTTATTTCATAATTTCTGGCTAGTGCTATGGTGCCAGGCATTAATGTTGCTATGAGTAAATAATATCACAAAGAGATCCACACCTGCTACATGTGATGTGTGTGATGCATTGTTTCATGTACATTTACACTCAATGTGTGTTTTTGGTTGATGCCTCCTCTGAGAATTGTTGAAGAGTGATTCGTAATGATATTAATGATAATAATAAAAGCTAATTTAATTTTTTGCTCTGCTAGGATGAAAGTGATGGTGATGATTTCAAACCAGATGACAAGGAAGATGATGACGACGAGGGGTCTGACGAGGAAGAAGACGAAGAGGCAGAGGACAACGATGCCAACCAGTCCGCTGAAATTGTTGAAGGTGAGTGCACCATGGTCTTGTCTCATTTATTATTTTTTGTAATTAAATTCTATTTTTTCTCATGAAAAATGTATTTATAAAAATTGTATTAATCGTGTTTTATTGCAATACTTATTTAATATACTATGTTATTAATTATTTAATAAATTATGTCAATAGGTAGCCGAGGTGTGAAGCGAAAGAGAGGTAACGAAGAAGACGACGAGGATAAGTGATCAGATGGACGGATGGATGATGTAATTGATATAGACACGTTTATTTTACTTCCTTTATTGACAGATAAATACAATAAACCTATATTTGTGTATGTGTGTATACATTTATGTACGCGTATATTGTATTAAGATTGCGTAAATTTATGTAAATTTTATTTATATAAAAATAAGTTAATACATTCAAGCTTTGCTAAATAAACGAAGATAGGACTACGTATATTAAAGTTAATTTAATTTGAAGTTAATTAATATCCATTTAATTATGACTACGTTGTTGACAATTTTTTTCTTTGGTTTTTAATATAAATTATGTTAACTAGTTACTACTACTTCTATCGTTAGCATCTGATGTAATATAATGTAAAAGTATTTCTTATTTGTCGTACGTGTGTGTGTGTGTGTATGTATTTTAAGGTTTAAAAAGTTTAAGAAATTTGTAATATCGAATACAAGTAACATCATATACATCAACATACCATAAGTTTGTAATTGCGGCTTAATGAATACAGAAGGGTACGGTATTGTACGTTCACTTGAGTACGTTACACTAGTTTTTGAAAATTATTGATTTACAGACCTACCGGGTAATTTAACTAAACCGTGTACCCGACTTTGTAATCCGGGTTCAGATAAATCTGTTTTTTTTCTCTAAGAATTTCTGTATAGAAGAGATTTGAACATACAAATTTGTGTAATGTATTTGTACTCATGTACCTGGTCAAATGGGTTACTTATACATATAATGTTTTAACAAAAACATGAGCTAAATTAAGTAATTATACTGTCATGATGGTTTTATCAGTGATATGATGGTTTTATCAGTGATATGATGGTTTTATCAGTGATTTTCGACTACTATTGCTATACACTTGACGGCGACAAACACAACTTATTACATTACCGAATACATTGATTATCACATACTTTAAATGGCATAAATGTTATCATCTACTAGTATATTTGTGTGATGTATGTTTATCATCATTACGCTATTATCTTAATGTAATGATGTGATATGCTTAATCTAGATTTGGTTCTCATATTTATATTGGCTGTATGCGTATAAAGACATAAATTTAAAGGTAAAATGATGTTTTATAATATTGACGATGTCTCACTTGATCAATCAACCAACAAACAGTAAATTTTGTTGTATTTAACGTTTTCCTTGTTTAATTCATTCAGTATAAATAACAAAACCTAACGAGGACAAGACATTAACAACAATAATCACCACAACCGCGGGGCACCGTGCGATGCGAATCCGGGTACATTTTTCGTGGATTTGCATAATTTTAAACTAGCGACAATTTCAGCAAATCTATCACACGAATGATTTGTGATCCTTGCACCATACAGCGTACATAATTGTAGTAATAATAATGTGTCCTAGTTACAATGATGTAGATTTGATGGGGAACGGTGGTTGTGTAATTTATAGCAGGGTTTAAAAAAATTTTTTTTTCTACCTTGGGTTAATTAGAGTTTGGCTAAGTAGAATCATGAAAGTTATCAAAGGCTGTGTGCAATCTGTCCTATTCAGTGTAAGTGTACATTTGCGTGTACGTTCATGAGTGCACATGAATGTGTATGAGTGTATACATACCTCTTATGCTAGTAAAGCCCATTAAAGTCAACAAGTAATTTTGTATGCTAATGCAAGAAAGAAACGAATTCAAACAAAAGTGGCTCTTAATTAAAAACTCTCAAAGCCGAAAAATAACCATACCTGAAAATATTATTACTAAATAAGTTGAAAACCATGTGTGTGGGTACATATATGAATTTAATATTGATATAAATATATATAATTAATTTTCATTTAATAAGAATATTACATTTCATAATTGTCAATATTAACATATTAATAATAATTGTATTTTTTTCCAGTCAAACTGATACATTTGTGTGCGAGTGAGACCAATTCAGTCGGTGGCTCTGTAGATAGCGGCTGTGTCGTGGTCTCCGTAGCCTCTGGCTTTTGCTTTTTTGAATAGCTGGTTAATGAATCAGTCAAATATTTATTGCTAAGAGGTTTAGTAATGTAACGTTTGTAAGAAGACTAATGATTCAATTAAAGATCATTGATGGATACAAATTAATTGTAATGTTTGCAATAAAATCAACAGAGACGGTCAGACGTTCGAAGCAAACACGTAACTGAAAACAAAGGGACAAACCAAAGACAACAACAAGACAGAAACAACAAATAAAGAGATACTCCAAATAAAAAAACAGAAACATAAACACACGACAGACTTCATTGGTGGCTGTTGTGATGTAGAGTGGCTGTTGTACAAGCTCTCCAAGAGATATTGCCAGCCTGATGTCTCTCTGCATGTGCTCCAGTGACAGCTGTCTAGTACTCAACTGGTTCGTTATCATTGCTGTCATGAATGTATGGATAAATCAAAAAAAATCCAGTCATTTATTTCTACTTTTTCTTTTAAATACCTTTATTAAACATGAAAAAACTAATAAAATCGATAAAAATGGTAACTGTATGAATGATTTTAAAAAAACATAAACAAGCTGGAAACAGAAAATGGAAAAACAACAACAAAATAAAAATACAAAAAAAGCGCAAACACTACAAACCGTCTCCCTTGAGAGAATTCAACTGGGATGAGATAGGCAGCAGAGTGAGTATGTTGAGTACCTGTGACTGGTCCAGTCCTAATTTTTCTCCCAGAGCCAAGGTTTCAGCAAGACCGGCCAGTAATGTCCCCTGCAACATGTTCACTACAAGCTTCATGCACGTCGCACTCCCTATGCCGCCTTGTTGGGGAGTTAGTGATTTGGTTGGTAAATGATGTACATATATAAATGGTTTAACGTGCGAATTGAATTAAATGAAAATGATGTCTGGTCAAATATACAAAATTTCTAAACTAAATAGAAAAAAAAGGAAAAAATCAACTAAACCCAGGTAGAATGCCTTCTTAGAGATGGAATTGAAGACAGTAGAGCAGCAGTCGTCAAACAGTTCCTTGTCTCCGGATGCAACGACAACGACGTCCTCCATGCTGGAATCCAGACTCCCAATGATGGGACTTTCCAGGAATTTTCCACCTCTACTCGTTATGGACTTCCAATGAAATGTTGAAATGTCAGTTTTGTATGTGCGTGGTTAATGAGAATTGAACTGGTACATTATTACGCCATAATTATTACAAAACTGTATTATTTATTATATTATCTTATATTTATTTATTATATTATTCATTAAATTATTTATTATAAACTATATTTACCTCGTGGAGTTCCGTAACTGTTAAAACGTCAACAGTTGACATGTCTACAAATGATTTCCCCGGTGAGATGGACTCCAACACCCCATTGGTTCCAGATATCAACTGTGTTGTGCGTGTGGTGTATTATGTGTGTGTGTGTGTATTCGTGTGTGTGTGCATTTGTAACATTAAACATTTGATTATAAGAACATACAGACATACATAGAAGAGATCCAGATACAAATGTATATCTCCCAAAAAGTTGAGATTGAGAGGTTAAAAACAAAATTCCCACAAAACGTCAACTGTCACAAAATAACATTGTGCAAACGTATCTACGAAACAGAACAAAATGGCACATTGAAATAGGGAAATATACAAAAGCACATTGAAGCGTACAAGCACAAAAACGTACAATTAAACATACAGGCGAAATACGAAACTCACACGCACACAAACAAACACAGAGACTGACATACATCTTTAAGTGCCCTGGCGTCACTGACACAGGATATGGTTATGTCAGACGTCTGCACTACTTCAGATGGGGTGCTACCTTTTTCTGCCCCTAACTCCATAAAGTACTTGCACTGTTTATGAGTACAATTGGCTAGTCAATCAATCTATCCATCAATCAATCCACCAATCAATCTATCAATCAACCAGTATATTAATAAATAAAGGAGCAACCAACAAATGAAAAGATAAAAATGAAAGAATAAAATGAAATAAAATATGTATAGACCTTAGATGGCGTTCTATTCCAGACCATAACTTTGAGGCCGGAGTTTAGCAGTCGATTAACGATGGTTGTTCCCATTTTTCCGAGACCGAGGAAGCCAATTGTGAATGTTTCCTGGATCGGTCTGGGGAGCACATCGGGAAGGAAGGTTGAGGAAGTAAATTCCTGCATGGATTTTTGAATAAATTAATAATTAACAAACTAAATTTTAACTAATTCTCATTGTTATATAAAGACATGTTTGTTTGTTTTATTATTTCTTAAACTCTTAAACTTGTGTTTATATTTGGTGTAAATTGACTGCATGATGGGTAAACTGAATTATATTTTGTTGAATATCCATTGTATGTGTTTTGTATTTGTTGGATAGCATAATTTTTAAAAAATATTAAATTTAGATAGATGGAAATTACTTACAAAGGCAATCTTATTCAAATGCTTAGACAATGAGAGGAACTTTTCAACAATCTCGTTTGTTTTGGGCACAACAATTTCATTCTCCTTGACGTTTTTGGCCTTTTTGACCTTTTTGACAGAATCGCTGACATGTTGGTCATTTCTGTCAACATCATGGGCTCTAGAATGATCGAGTTTGTCTTTTTTGTGAACTTTTTTGACCTTAACTTTGACTTCTGACCTCTTATCTGTTGAAGATTTTCGCTTTTTTGTTTCCCCTGATTTAACACTCACAGTACTTTTTCTCTTTTTAGATGAGCTGGAAACTGACACCATTTCAATATTTTCATCTTCATCATCGTCGTCGTGTTTGTGGGCACCATCATAATCAATTTCATCATCGTCTTCTTCATCTTCTTCATCATTTTTCTCTTCTTCTTCTTGCTGTTGCTGTTGTTTTTGCATGAAAAGTAAGGAGGATTTTCTCCTAGGTAGGTGTCGTCTGCCCTGAGTACATTTTTAAGAAAAAAATTTAAGATTATTTAGTTATTTCAAATTATTATATTGAAAAATAAAAAAATAAACAGAAATACTCAAACTTAATTGATTAAATAATAAATTAATTTATCCATAAGTACTAGTTAACTGCAACAGTCTAAATTATAATGATATGAAAAAAAATGTTAATTTTTGGTAAAAATGATGGAGAAAATTTATAGGAAATTGATGAAGATGATGAATTATGGTGACACAAGTTATGCAACATAAGATGATTAGTAGGCCCCTTACTTTATTTTCTTCAACTTCTACCTCTTCACGGACTTCTTCCTAGATTTTAGGAAAAATTACAAAAAAAATATTAAATAAAAATTATTTAGGAGAGGTTTATTCAGAAAAATCCATCAAAATAATAATTAAAAAGAGATTATCATATAAACAAACCACATTTTTAGTGAAAACCTAACTAAAATTTTTTACATAGCCTCAAATGTATTCAGCTATTTAGAAAATCAAAAAAAATAATATACAATATGACAAATAAATTGAAAAAATAAAAATTCATCAGCAAAAAAATAAAATAAAAATTGAACTTTGGCAGATTCAGATTCAGCAGACGAATCCGAAGAATCCTCAACGACCTCTCCAGCAGCCCTGGCTGCCCTTCTCTTCACAGTGGCCTCGATTTCATCAACTGCATCTTGAAAACCTTCTGGGATTTTGGTCTTTATGAGGTATTTCTCTCTGAATTCCTCATACGACCATAAAAGATCAGGGTGAACAAAGGAGCTGAAATGTCAGAAAATTTAAAGGTGAAACAATAATTGAATTGCATATTAATTAAAGTTTACTTTATAATACCAAATAAATAATCAAAAAACATTGCCAGAGCTGTCACCATACTGGCTAACAAAAACTTATTAATTTTTTGACTTACTATGTGTCTGATCCATAAAATGTTACAAATTCATGTGTTCCTGAGGTTGGAATTTTTATATCGTCGTCTTTTGGCTTTGTCACCTAAAAAAGAAATAATAAAAATCTCTATTTATTTATAGTATTTATCTATCTATCTAGTAATTTTATTTTATAGTAATCTGATATTAGTGATAAAAAATAATTACAAAAATATTTAAATTTACATAGTAGTAAATAAGTAAAGATAATTTAAATTTATTTTTCATGTTTAATTGACACTTGGAGTCTTAGATAGAAACATTAAGATATAAAAAAAAATGTGAATAAAATAGAAAAAAGTAAAAATGAGCTAAAAAAATTTGCTAACTTTGGCAGGCCATGGAGGAAATCCTTTTACCCTGGCCCTGAAATTTAAAATTTAAATTATTTAAAACTCGATATATATATAAGCTTTAATAAAAAAACTAATTCATTAGAAGCTGGTAAACTTCACTTAGTCTCTAAGTCATAGTGTCAACACACACACACACACACACACACACACACACAAGCACACACGGGAGAAGGAATTAAAAATTAAAAACCACGCATTAAATTTGCAATAAATACGACAAAAAAAACTAGCCAAACAAGATCCCCTCTATTAAATTTTTTATTCTTTTGATCGCCGGCCATGACGGACTATTGATCTTTTTAAACTAATTTTCGCAACCCTAGATCGATTTGAATCCGACATAAAACGACGTGAAAATTACCTACGATTCAAATTGCTTGGTATATTGTAAACAAAGAACTCTCAACATTTAAAGTTTTGTAGACGTATAGTCGAAACTGAGATTTTTGCGGTGAGAAAAGTAGTTTAAGAATTTTTAAAACTTTTTATAAATATAACATGCATATTAATCTATTTTTTTAAATGAATGGTCATTTTCACGCAAATATTTGGACATTTTCAACGTTTCAAACTTTAGTAATAATAGTGTCATTAGTAAAATGATAGTTTTGTACAGAAAAGTTAACAAAATGCAGTGAAAATAATTATAAAACAATTACTTTTTTTTCTTAATTTTTAATATATTTATAACAGATAACTAAGTTACCAGAAAACGAACCGAAATTTTAAAATGAAATTTTTCAAGCATACACACATCCCCGTTTCAAGTGCCCGAATATTCAGCAGCCAATCACATTCGTTCGTGCTTAACGTGGCAGAACTTTTAAATTCATGTACAGATCTATCTATTGTTGGGAGTAAAATAAAAAGTAATTATTTTACCAAAAAAAATATTGAAAATTTGTTCAAAATGGCGAAAAGAGAAGAGCAAAAGCCAGTAGAATTAATTCCCGAAGTTGTGCTGGACCCCGCCTCGCAAAAGCGCTACGTTCGTGGCAGGTTTCTGGGAAAGGTTAGCGTTAGTTACCGCCGTGAGTGAAAATTTCACTAATTAACTACTATTAAAAGTTCTCGCGCTTAAAATTTTTAAAAATGGCCGGAATAAAATTTAAATATTTTAGCATTTAGCTTGCTTGTTTGTATATTGCTTGCTTCATTTCATACAATTTTTATTTAAAAATCAAAATATTTTCTGAGATCTCACACTAGTTTGATTTTAATTTAATTTCTTAACTAAAAAAGACTGATTTATAATATGTTTTATTTTAATTTATAATTATAAAATGAGCTCGCAAAATTTAAGTTAAATTAAGTTTATTTTGAATTATTAATTAATCTGTATTGTACTGTAATCAATCTGTGATTCTCAATCAATTCAAGTGCAAAATTAAATTTTTCTTTATTAGGTTTTTATATTATTCTTCATTAATTTTTTATTCCATATTACATGAAATTTCAATACAGGGTGGATTTGCAAAATGTTATGAACTGACTGATTCAGACACCAAGCAAATTTATGCTGGCAAGATTGTGCCAAAGAGTCTGCTTGTTAAGCAGCACCAAAAAGAAAAGGTCTCTGGAGTTTTTTTTTGAAGTTTTTTTATTAAAAAGATTTAAATGAATTTCTACATTATAGTTAGTCATTTTCTAGTTAGTGATGTTGTCACTCCACTGCTGAATTAGAGATAAATTATTTTCTCCCCACACCAGATGACTCAGGAAATTAGTATCCACAAGGGCCTCTCACACAAACACATCGTTGGCTTTTATGGATTCTTTGAAGACAATGATAATGTCTACATACTGTTGGAGCTATGTAGAAGACGGGTATGTTTGGTTCTGTGTCATAAAATTTCCATTCATCTTTAATATTTTGTATTTTAAACTGACCAAATTAAAACTGTTTTTTGGTTGTTAGTCCCTCATGGAATTGCACAAAAGAAGGAAAACTGTGACAGAACCAGAGGCTAGATATTTTGTTCACCAGATAGCACTGGCCTGCGACCACCTCCACCAGATGCACATCATACACAGGGACCTCAAACTCGGCAATCTCTTCCTAAATGATGATATGGAAATCAAAATTGGAGACTTTGGTCTAGCCACTCGTGTCGATTTCTCTGGAGAACGCAAAAAAACACTCTGTGGTACACCAAACTACATTGCTCCCGAGGTCCTTGGTAAGAAAGGTCACAGCTATGAAGTTGATGCTTGGTCTCTTGGATGTATCTTGTGAGTTGTCTATGTTTGTATCTACTTGCCTGTATTTATTATCTTTGTTCATCTCTAACTGTATACTAACTTTACTTTTGTTACTAATCCGTGTTCTAAACTTTGTTGCTCAAGTCAAGACATGTGCAATTTCTTTCCTTTCAGATACACCCTGTTGGTTGGCAAGCCTCCATTTGAGACATCCAACCTGAAAGACACGTACGCTCGCATCAAGAGAAATGAATATCACATCCCTGCAGGCCGAGCCTCCTTGCAGGCCAAATCTCTAATTGAGCGGTTGCTTCAGGCAGATCCAACACAACGACCGTCAATGCAGCATGTCCTACGTGATGAATTCTTCACATCAGGTCTTTTTAACATTTCATTTTTTCAAACTCCTTCCCATGAATAACTAATAATCAAATTTAATATTATTTGTGACTGACTAATCATACGACAGGTTTCATGCCTCATGGCCTGCCAACCAGTTGCCTATCGACTGCACCTCGATTTGATCTTCTGAGAGCAGCTGACATTGGCAGGAGACCTCTTGCTGAAGTTAATGGTCAGCCTTTGCTCTGTCTGTTTGTTTACCTGTCTGTTTGATTTTTTTGTTTGTTTGTTTGCTCATTTGTCTGCTGCTCATTTGTTTGTTGGGCTGGAAATAGTAAAGTAGAGGGGAGTTTTTTTGTAGGGTGTCTTGAAAATAACTGCTGTATACTCAGATTAATAAAGGATCATGTACATATATGCACAAATACACATGCAAACCTACGCATACATACAAACAAACAGTCAAACAAACAGACAGACACATTAAATTAATTCTTTTTTACTTGTGGTGGTTATACAACACAGATGGAGGAAATGCTTTGACGGTTGCACAGTCAACCATCCAGAAAGATCATGAAGGTGGTGGCTTGCTCGTTGATGATAAGAACGATAAGAGACTGAGTTAGTACATTGTTTGTATATTTTTTAATGATTTGTATGCGTATTTCACACAGCTTATGTTTGAATGATGCCTGTGCATGTGATTGATTGATTAATTGAAATAGAGAATGGGAAAGAAAAAGGTACATAGATTGTACGGGTGTAACATTATTAGTTTGGGTTTGTATGTGTATCTTGCGTGAGTTATGCATGATAGCCTATGTGGGTGTATGTATGTATGTGTGTGTGAGAGAGAGAATGCACTGCATTTCCACATAATTTGACATACACACATACATACATACCAACATACATAGATGCATACAACACAGTAATTATTTTTGCTGTTCATTATCATCATAGGTGAGGAACCAGCTGACTGCTACCTATCTGAATTGCTACACCTACTATCCAGTGTCACCAATTCAAAGAACTTCGACAAGCCAATCTGCAATGAAGGTTGTTCAGAGCTGTTTCTTATTAGTCTTTGTTCTTTTAGCTTCTGTATTTGTCTCTGTGGTAATCTGTGTTGTTCTATGTCTTACTTTGTTTGCTTTGTTACTTGTGACTTTGCTTTATTATTTATAAGCATGTATTTCTCTGTTGTTATGTGTCTCTAAATGTATGTTTCACTACACCTTTCTACTTCTTACTGTATGTTTTTGTGTATCTTTCTATCAGTGTCTGCATGCATACATACATACATTCATACATATATACTTACACACGCACATACATGCACACACACTTACATTCACACATACATACATAGAGGAGGCAGAAGACCCGGCGGCAGTACCTATATACTGGGTATGCAAGTGGGTAGACTACAGTGATAAGTACGGGCTTGGCTATCAGCTCTGCGACAACAGTATCGGTGTGCTCTTCAATGACTCCAGTCGTATGCTGCTTGCTAGTAACGGAGAGTAAGTTTCGGTTTCTCCGACATATTTGTGGCTTGTGGCTGTAAGTTGTTGTTTGTTTGAATTGTTGTAGTTGTTTGTGTGAATTTCGATCTGTTTCTGTGTGCTTGTTGATAACGATAATAATGGTAGAGCTGATTAAAGACGGTAATTGTAATGACGATGACTGATGACTGTACTTAGGAACATGCAGTACATAGAGAAGGAAGGATCGGAGCACTTCCACAACATCAGAGCTTTCCCAGAGACGCTGACCAAGAAAGTAACGCTGTTAAAGTACTTCAAGAATTATATGAATGAACATCTATTGAAGGTCTGCACCTGTTGGTTTATGCTATGGTTGTTGCTGATGCTACTGGTGTCACTGCTTTAGTTGTTGATGACATTGTTGTTGTGACTGTTGATGCTACTGATGTCATTGCTGCTATTGTTGTCGTCGTTGATGTTATGCTGTTATGCTGCTACTGTAGACAACCATCATTTTTTTTATTGAAAGTTTTATGTCTGCTTGCAGTGTTGGTGCTTTGTTTCAGGTACCTGTGTTGACTAATTTACCATACCAACGTGGTTATTAATTTTGCTAGTGTTGCTGTTGTTATCTTCAATCAATTATTTAATTAATTAGTTAGTTAAATAGTTAATTAATTAGTTAATTAATTAATTAACAGGCAGGTGCCAATATAATGCCCAGGGAAGGTGATGAGATGACTCGCCTGCCCTTCCTTAGGACGTGGTTCAGGACCAGGAGCGCCATCATCCTTCATCTCAGCAATGGAACTTTACAGGTTGCTAATTTGCCTGCCTGTTTTATTTTGTTTGTTTGTATGTCTGTATGCTACCCTACCCTGCTGGTATGTTGTGCCTCTCTCTCTATCTCTCTCTCTCTTCTCTCTCTCTCTCTCTTCTCTCTCTCTCTTCTCTCTCTCTCTCTCTCTCTCTCTCTCTGGAGTTTATGTATACGCACTTTGCACCTACATTCATGCACACGCGCATATATTCACATGCACGAAACACACACACGAACACCCTAACAGATAAACTTCTTCCAAGACCACACAAAAGTAATCCTCTGCCCGCTCATGGGAGCTGTCACGTACATCGACGAGAGGAAAAACTTCAAGACCTACCGACTGCCTCTAATCGAGAAGTTCGGCTGCATGAAGGACTTGGCCTCCAGGCTACGTTACGCGCGTACCATGTGCGATAAGTTGGTTGCTACGGCCGGAAACCGACCAAACCCTGATGACATTAGATAATGAAGACGAGGATGGTGGTGGTGGTGGTGATGATGACGAGGAAATGATGACGATGGTGGGAATAGTGATAATAACGCCGATGTAAATTGATGGATGTTGTCATCATCGTACTAATAAGCATGCCTTTCATTCGTGTCTATGCCATTCTGTAGCTATCGGTAGTATGCTTGACGACGACGATGATGGTGATGTACTGTGGGATGATTATGTTGATAATGATAGTAGGATGATGATGATAATGATGATAATGAACACGATATTATTTTTTACGATAAGTTTTCATTCACTAAGTAAGCGCCGTCTATTTTTCTTTCTTCATTTTTGTTATTTAACATACGAATGTTTTCGCCACAAAGTTCTTGACATTTTTAACAATGGTGTATCATTATTATTATTACATCATTAATGTTATTTACTATGATTATTGTCTAGTTATTTATGTCAAATTTTTTATATTATTATTTAATATTCATGACTATTGCTTCAGGCATTTTATTTTCGTTTTTCGTTATCCTATCAGGTACATAACATGCAAGCAATTATAACTCTATTACTATTTTAATAATAACAACAATATACGTTATTCTTCTTATTATTCTTATTATTGTCTACCCATATTTAAGTTCTTATGATTCAAGTAGATAATAATAATGATTTTAAAAGTTTTGTTCAACAGATTTTATTACAATAGATAAACAAAATAGATAAGTAGTATAATTAAGATTTACATATAAATTTAATATATTGTTAACATCCGTGTGTGTGTGTGCGTGCGTATATAGCTGCAGTTTACTGAACTGTTTGTATTTAATGTGTCCATTATTTCAATATTTTCTTTCAAAACTGATATGCCTCATAGAGCTAGAGTAACGACAGAAATTGTATGATTAACTGTTTAATTATATTTTTATACGTCTTCCCCGCCTTCTCATGTATAAATAAATAAATGTTATCTATGTAACATGAATGTGTTGTATTTTTTGCCTGTGTGTGTGTGTCAAAGCCATAAATATATATATACATACTTGTGTATATTCTATATATATATATATGTATATATATGGTTAAGGCATCTTTAACATAAAGTTATTGATTAAAATAGAAAAAACATAAAATTCTATCTCGAAATGGGAGTTTAAACAGGATCCGTGAGGTTTTACAATGGCATCTAACCAACCTTGATCATCATTCTAATTATATGGATCATCTAAATTATATACCAATGAAAAATAGGAGTGGCTTTGACATCACGCTTGACGTCACATCTAATATGTCTGCGTATCTATGGCTTATGTTCATTAATGTTTCTTCTATACGTGTATGTATTGTATATATATATGTTGTATGAATAATCTTTTTTCTGATTTAATCAAAGATAAAGATGTTTGTCACAGTTTAATATTAATTTCATTAAAAATACGAAACTTTTTCTTGGATCGGTTAAATAATGAATATTTATAAAAGTAAATTTGATTATTGTCAGTTTACTTAATATTTGGCGCTAGAATAATTTTTCACTAATTTAAAAGTGAATAATATAAATAAACAATATCATATGTCCCTTTGTGAAGATTAACTAATTAAATTAATTGAGTGTCAAAATTCATTTCGTGGAAAATTAGTAAATGATTTATTAGTTGGTTTTTTGTGGTTTAGCTGTTTATTCGACCCTTACAAAACGTTACTTCTTTAATATATATTTTTATTTTTGTACTGATGATTTTGTAATTTTTTTAATAAAATAAAATAAATAAAGTCCATTATTAATTAAATTAAAATTACTAACTACCACTATTATTCTTAATAGTCAAAGTTATTTATTTTGAAAAGTTAGAGAGAATTAGTTGTTTGATTTTGAAAGCATACATACATTTATAATATATAGTATATAATATATACTATATATATATATATAATATAATATATTATATAATATATGCTATATATAAATTTATGTATGCTTTCAAAATCAAACAACTAATATTATATACTCAAACAGTCATACTAACTACTAAATTAAGCAGTAAAAAAACTAACATCTAATCATATCATCATATTATAATATAATAATAATTATAATACAAGTATTACTATTAATATACTAAGTATATTATACTAGCTTTTGTAAGCTGTCTTTTATTTGGAGAAGAGCTTGACAAAAACTTGTTCACACATACACATCATCATCTTCTATCTTCATAATCAATGGATGCCAAGTCCTTGTTATTTGAATGCCTTCAGGATTCACCGTATTTTAGGTTAGTAATTCAGTTAAAAATTAATTATAGTAATTTAATTATGATTTATTATTATTTTTTATTGTGGTTGTTATTCTTCTTATTATTTATTGTTACTGTTTTAATTTTAATTTTTAAAAATAAATAAAGTCATTAATTAATTACATACAGGGCATCACTGATTGAGAAAGAGAGAGGTGTTGAAACTTTACACATAAAAGTAGAGAAGGTATGCATGTATATTACTACTATTACTACTACGATACTATTACTACTACTACTACTACTACTACTACTACTACTACTACTACTACTACTACTATCAATACTACTACTTTACTACTACTACTACTGCTATTAATACTAATACTGCAACTTCAAATACTTACTTCAAATACTGATACTTTAAATACTGATACTCATGCTACTACTATTACTGCTGCTACTACTACTACTTATAATATTATTACTACATCTACTGCTTCTACTACAATTATTACTACTACTACTACTACTACTACTACTACTACTACTGTGTATTAGTTAGTAGCAGTTAAAACAATGCCATTTTGAAACCACAGTAAAAGTAATAGTAATGATGATGATGACTCTAGTTGTAGATAGTATGCACAACTGCTACTATTAAAGAAAATGAAGGAGTTCTTACAAAGAAGCCAGAGAAAATTCTAACATAATAATCTTTATAATTATTCTCTTATAATTATCTCGTATAATTATTTATAATTTAGTAGGTATTTATTTGTTATTAATAACAGCAACAACATCATCAACAACAACAACAAAAGTAATAATAACAATAACAATGTCAATTAAAGGTTTTGAAGACATGCTCCACTATGCTAGATGCAGGCAAACTTTATAGCAACTGTACTAAGTAAATGATGGTGATGATGACGACGACGATGACGACGGGCGTAGATGATGATGAAGACGACGATGTTGTTGTTGTTAATGTTGTTGTTGATGATAATGATGATGTTGTTGTTGTTAACGATGACGATGATGATGATGATGATGATGGTGGTGATGATGGTGATGATGATTTTGAATGTTAGATGACGATGATGATGACGATGATGTTGATGATGATGGATTGATGAGATTGTAGTTGTTGCTAGCACCAACTGGTTGCATTTTTTTTATTAATTGTAATCATACGTATAAACAATGTTATAAAAATAAAGATTATCATTATTAATTAATTAATCAATTAATTGATCAATTAATTAACTAATTAACTACTTGATTGGTTAAATAAATATTCAGAGATTTCATAAATGGCTTGTGCGATCTGACAGCATGTCTTAATGATGACAAGGGTGAAGATGAGATGGATTCATCATTGGTTAGTGAGGCTTTGTTTTTGACGATGACGACGACGATGAAGCTACTGCCACTGCTGCTGATGTCGCTGATGATGACGACGACGATGAAGCTACTGCCACTGCTGCTGATGTCGCTGATGATGACGACGACGACGACGCCGTTGGGAAAGGAATGATAATAATTGTAATGGCTATGATGGACGAACGTTTTGAATTGTATAGCAAGCTAATGACGGTTGTAATGATAAACGATGACGGACAACGATGGCAATCATGATTCATTCAGATGAATAAATTATGAATAAATGAATAAATTATGAATAAATTATGATAATGCAGTAGGTTCCATAATAACCATCATACTTTATTATTCACATGCTGTAGCAAATTATGGCCAGATTCAAAGATGTCCTAGCAGAAACCAACAGCTATTTCGAAGTCTGTCTATAATTACTTTCGTCTTTATTATAATAATAATATTATTAATGGTTATTATTATTATTATTATTATTATTTTCTCCGTAGATTCTGTTGGATCAGATGAATAGATGCATTGTCAATGGGCTCTACTCTTTCCTAAAAAAGTTAGTTTATTATTATTATTGTTATTATTATTATTATTAATTTATTATTTTGTAAAATTGCTAACGAGAAATGCGTTTCAATGCAAATTTTGTTATAAACGCAAATTCGGCGGTTTTTTTCTTCAAAAGTATTGATGTCGTCAAGTATTGATTGCTGCTTTACATACTTGTTAGCGTCGTTTTTATTATTATTACTGTTTTTGTTATTTATCATTATTATTATTATTTATTATCATTATTATTATTATTATTGTTGTTGTTGTTGTTGTTTTTTTTAGAGTTTAGTCGTATTTTATTTACCATTTAGTTTTATAGTCAGGTGATTATTCGCCTACTCGTTCATTGATTATTCATTTATTCATCCATCCATCTATCCTTTCATTAATTTATTTATTCATTTATTTGTCCTGTTCATTTATTAATCCATTTTTTCTTCATCCATCTATTATAAAACTACTACATTATCATAATTCATTCGTTTATTTATAATTTATTCATTTCAATCATCCATTAAAACACTCACTCACTCACTTGTTCATTCATTCGTTCATTTGCTACAGGTACATATTGAAAGTAAAAGAATCTCGGAAACACTTCGACAAGATATCGGAGGACTTGGACACTATCCTCATGAAACATTCCCAATCCGGAAAATCCCAAAAAATTCAGGATTTGGAGGATGTGGATAACATGCTTCTTGCTACGAGATCCTGTTTTAAGCATATATCTATTGATTATCTTCTGCAGGTCTCTGTGTGTGTATCTGTATGTGTATGTGTGTGTGTTTATATATATATATATATATATATATATATATATATATATATATATATATATGTGTGTGTGTGTGT